AAGAAATATTCAAGTTTAAAACAATCAAACATTATTTCTGTGACTTTATGTTCTTGAATTTGTAAGTACTTGATACTCTTTAGAAAGGATTAGATTCAAAGATTATTCTTTAATATTTGATTTAAAAAATCAATTTACCAAACAATCAATCACCAAAATGTTGTAGGAGAGACGACAAAAATGGATTAATTTAGTTATGTAAAAAAGTCTTGAGAAAGTCCCGTAGGACCTGAAATATTTCACTGCAATATGAAAAATTCCCACATGCGGCATGTCGTGATATGGCAAAGCACTATTGTGTACATTACTTTATATTAAAATTGTTCTTGGGATTAAATGCAGTGAAAGGAAATAATTAATGCGAAACAACCGGGTAAATATGGAACATAATTTCCATGGTGTTGGTGTGCAATTGTGTAGGTTTTCTTTATTTTGCTTTTATGCGCGATACATTAATATAAATCTTAAAGTTTATGTTCAGTCTACCAATCATCGCTGACAAACGAAATGTCGACCGTCTTCAACAATAATGTTCACCCGCTCTGTTCGGAATCAATTTATTTATCTTCTACGAAACCTCAGATGCAGCCACTCTGTAAAATATTATCCCTTTATAAATAGCAGTTTCAGTTATGGGCGTCGAACTTTAAGTCATTATTTGTATTTTTTATGGTTGACACCCGAGAGCACGTGAAAATCGAATTAGGAGCGTCCAAAGTTAGATAGTACAAGAAAATGCAATGGCTTACTAGAAAAGGCAAGAAGAATACAAACAATTCACCACAGTGTTTGCTACGGATCTTTTACTGCTTTCGCATACTGAGAAGTTGTATTGTTTAATGTAATTAAAGAACAAATAACAGGCACTTGAGCCGTAAATGGAATTATCAATTGATATAGTATTATTAACAGTGAAATTAATTGTGAAAGCGTTTCCAATTGAGGCGTTACAGTAGAACGTGAAGATGGTAAAATATGGGGCCGTACCACAAAAAAAAGGATGTTGGAGGATTTCGTCAAGAACATTTTTTATGTTTTCTGATGTCGACGGCATACGTTTAGTTTGTTTGTTAGGCCTCAAGAACATGCAGTAATAAAAACTTTCTACGGCATAGGAATTAGAACTATACTTCAAATTTCTTGATTGTGATGGTTAACAACGTGAATACCTGCAGAATGAAAATTGAGAAGTGAGAGCTTACACACTGAATGTGGAATACATGTTTTAAAACTACATCTTTCTTCAACTGCTGTCACAATCGGGAGTATTTAACGATATTTACAGCAGGCAACTATTTACTTGAACACTGAAATAAATCTATTTATTTACAATTGATTGCCTACTTAACTATGATTAGAGAAAAAGACCACCACAACAACTTTTTTTTATTAAAAAGTAGTTCTGTGGATTTTATTTATTTATAAAGTGGTTAGAGGAAAGCGGGTGTACTTGCATCTTAGTTACAAACAGGGTTCCAAACAGTTTTGCTGTTTTACATTTCTTTTTAAAAAATCAAGTGTTATCGAAAATTGGTATATAAATTTAGATCATAGAAATCCGGGGGTGTCCCATTTTCGACCTTTTTATGGTGTACCTCCGTAGTAGTTTGTAGAGAATTATTGGAAAGTAGAAATACTGTCATGCAGTAATAAAGTTAATCCTTATTAAAATACTGCATTGTCTATGGCAAAAATTAATGAATTAGGCTACGAACTGCTACCCCACCCAGCATATTCTCAGGATATGCGACTATTTCCGGCTTCTAAATCTGAACAAATGGCTGGGCGGTAAGAGCTTTGGGTCCAATGAAGAGGAATCCATCATTGAAACAAACGCATATTTCGAGGACCTCGAAAAATTATATTGTTTGGAAGGGATAAAAAAATTGGAAAGACGCTGGACTAAGTGTATCGAGCTAAATGAAGACTATGTTGAGAAATAAAACGTTTTTTGGCCGAAAAAAACTATCTCATTCAAAAAGTAACTGACTTATCAAACGACCCTCGCATAACGAAATAACCTGTAAGAGGAGGTTAGAAATTATATATAAGGTCGGTATAAGGGAGAAATATAACGTACAGTATCGCTGCATAAATAGCACAGAATAGAATCCTTATTAAGAGATCCCTTATTTTGAGACTCAATTGCGCAGGCCTATGTGTCAAAAGACCACTAACTTAATTACTGCCCGTCCTTATTGACAGTCTAATAACTCTCTAGTGCTGTCAAGAAAGTAGTGTAGGTATAATGTGCTCCTTTTAGCCCAAACCATGAAAAATAGAAATTTGAAAATTTTGCGCACTTACGGAAGGACAATTTTGCTCTCAGGAGAAAATAAAAAAGTGTCAATTTTTTCTGCGTTAAAAGAGATAAAGAAAAATGTTTAATGAAAAGTCTATTTATAATGATATAATGAAATGATATATATATTTTTATGTTGAATAATTTCCAAAAAAAACCTTCTTATCATTTATATTAATTACATTATTTCAATCATTACAGATTCAAAGAATGACGTTTCCTCAAACAATTATTTAAATACTGTAATATTTATCAATCTGGTAAAGTATATCCGATTTAATGTGATTCTAAGTGAAGTGGAAGACCGTCCAATCCCATGCACTAAAAACCAGTAGCACCGCGATAATGCAAATTGAAAAGACGGTTCTTCGCGCTTCTAATTATACACATAGAACAATTTAAATGATTTAATTGCTTGCTAAAATATAAATCACGCATATCAATTCTGTGAAGCCCGTTGTAGAGGAATTCATCGAATTAACAAACTAGTTATGTGGTAAATTCATGTAGGCGGCAAGGCATAATGCTGTGTCATCGATCTTGCATGCTGATTTTTATGGAACAATTAATTTCGTACGCATATACAAAAGCTCAGGTTTTCAGTAAACACTTTTTATAAAACATAAATTGGTACTGAAAGAAATATTATGCCACATCGAATTGGCTGAAACTTCTGAGTATATCCTTTCTTACATTAATAAAGACATGTACGAAAATCTTGCGTTCACCAGGATGATAATCGCTTGCAAAACATGATACCATACACAGTGGGATAGAATGATGACACATTTGAACACATTGAATTATGTAAAACTCATCAAACAATACCAATTTTTCGAGAAGCAACTTAATGAAACAAAAAAGATGGAACACCAAATGTATATAAAAAATACAAAGGACTTCCCACAGTGTTAAAAGTAATTTTATGCAACCACCCAGGAAGGGGATCTCTTAATTGCGCAATAAATGTATTCAGCAAATTTGCAATATGACCAATCCTTCGCCAATATCATTTTTTACGGTTAGTAACCATTAATAACCATGTGATTAAATAAGAAACTGACAGTCATAACTGAATCTCAATTATGAAATATTTTGATTTTAAAATTTTAACTGAACTCCCAAAAAGCGAGTCGTTTGAGTCGCTTGAAACTTATTTTTTATGTTACGCAATTAAATTGTTTAAATCACACAATTAAGTACAGATTTTTCAATAACTTATTAGCATGTCCAAACATTTTTCTGATTTCCTAATTGATCTTCCTTGACCATTCCAAACTATGTAGGAAAACCACCAGAGACACATTGGCAACTTATTTAGCAAAGTCGCTTTAATCACAATATAACTTAAAAATTTTGCCAGGAAATGGCAAAAAAGGAGTTGTGAGTTAACTTATCTAAAGTAGAACATCTTGGGTGTATGTAACAGCCCAGTAGGTATGTTGCATTAAAAATGCCAAGCGGTGAATGATCGTGACACTAAATACCTAGGCAAAATCGCATACTCGTCCGGGTTTTAATGAATAAGGGATTATTGTAATGATCTAATTAAAATATTAATACACCTGGTGCATAAGCAGTGGGCATTTAAAACCTTAAGTAATTCATTTTGCCGTGCATTTCTGGGTGCGTCAAGTGGAGATTAGCTTCAGCTTCGGTGCATGACATACAAGTTATACACCTACCATGAGCCAGTTCTTTTTATTTGTTATACATAACACCAAATTAGATTCTTTATTTACATTGTCCGTTCTACCTCTGTAATTTTATACAATAATTTGCATGACTGTTGAAGTATTTTGATAGACACAGTTCGAACGTTGACAGACAAGGTCCAGTTAATATAGATTCAAAAAAGATTACGTTAACTTGAGTGACTGTTTCGAATTCGAGTGGAATCAAATTTTCGTGGTCTAATTAATACGCAGCCCACATTTTTATTTACTAACGTAATAACTTAAGATTCCCTTCAAAATTAATCTGCATACGGAAAACTGACAAGATACAGAAAGATAAAGACAGTAAAATGAAACTCAACAAAAAACACGATCTTATGTTGTTTTGGATGCATGAAAACTTGCAACTTTTGACTAATTAACATGGTGCCTTATTGTAGTTTTATGAAATAATGTATTAATATAGAAAATTGAAATTAAGTTTCAACGTGTATATTCAAAGTAACTCGGCAGGTAAGAGCGCGATAATACACATATCCATATACTTTGCATGCTTACTTAAAATTCCATTTTGTCATTACAGGACCAGTTTAGATAAAAAGTTTTCACTTTTAAAATTCTATCGACCACTGACCAGTCACCAGCCTTACGCGTAATGATTTGCATTTGTATAATGAATGTGACTTGCATTTATTCTGAAGCAAAAACAAACTGATTGTAGAAATAAATACTACAAGTCTGGAATGGAAAAGGAGATCATTTATTTAATTTTGCGTATTGACATTCTGTTTTACAAGAAATTTTTAGATACGAATCAATGAATAATGAATATATCGCTTCAGCTTATAGAGAATTAAAACAAATGAAACCCGTCGTTAAATATAAACTTGAGCTTTTCCTTGAAAATTCTCTATTTAAACTCCTACGGGCGTGGCAATCCTAAACTCTCTCAGACGAAAAATGAAATATTGAAACGATTATACATTTGCTTTTATTTCAGTGAAAAATTGCTAGGCATTGATCAATACGAAAATATTTTATTCTGCCCTGGCAGACTTCGACAAGTGTTGTTCGGTTTTCTTTCAAGGCTAACTTTTGACAAAAGCTGCTAATGTGTAGCCTATTCTAACCTACAGGACCGGAAATTTATCAGTGTCAGAGAGAACAAAATGTGGTTTACTTGAAGTTTAGCAAAAATAATTCTGCAAACAAGATGCAAGATAAATTGTTACAAGCCTGTAGAAAACTGGGCAATGGGTAGAACTTATTACTCGTCTTAAGGTAAGACAACAATTTATTATTTTTAACCACCTCTTCGGAGTTCACGCCCAGACCTAACATATGAAGAAAATAAGTTACGCCAGACTTATCCTGCTAGTTTGCCAACCTCCATTATATTTAAAAATGGTGAGATTCTCGAAATTAGAGTACAGCACATTTTTAAAGTTGATAATTGTAAACCAGACAAAGTTGCAAGAGATAACAATACATTATAGCATGCAAAATTGCGTTAACCAAAAGAGCTTGCTTAAAAGAAAGTAAGTCAAAATAAGAATATTGCAATGAATTATTTATAAGTTGAAATGTATATGATTATCCAGTATAATGGGTCTCATTTAATAGCATATATCAAGATAAATTGTCTACATGATTTTCATAATGGACTTACTTGAAAACAATGCTTCCAAACAAGTGCCCCTCTAAATTAATAAAAAGTTTTATCCAGAGGTTTACTATAGTCATTTTTTATTTTTAGCTACATGAAATCTGCTGGTGCCTATGACTGAACTATGCCGTTTCACACAGCACACTGAAAATTGCTGAAGAAAAACTAGAAAAAAGCACATAAAAGCACATTTTTACCAAAGGAAGTGTTAACGTTAAAAAACCTCTGAGCCTGTGTCAAATAGTTGTAAAAACTCCACATGAAATTCACAATGCAGAATTAATTAATTTCAAAATTTTAAGTTATTCAAATAAAACAAATAAACCTAACAGGTCATTTGCTTTCAGACCATTTGATGTAACAAGCAGGTATGCAGTCTTGTCAATTTGACGAAAATACCATATATGTACTATTAATTATCATAATGCCCTAAGAATCTTAGTGTGTAAATACCAGTTTCAGTGAAGTCGGTAGGTTTTTAGACAGGTAGAGTGTCTAGCACTTGAATAATATGCTCGATGTATGACATCATACATGTACAGTACAATTTATCTTTAGAGAATGAAGAGCTGTTGGCTCATTTAGCTAATTCAATGTGGATAAATTATTGGTTTTAAATGGTGAACATGGGCATTAACGGGAGGTTTGCTAATTTCAATAATTCTGCCTATATTCTTTTAATCAGATGACATTCTTGTTAGTATCTCTATTTTTACCTGATAATTATAATCACGTTCGCTCTGTAAAGTTGAAAAATGTTATTATAGTAATGGATATTAAATATCTCTAAGCATGAAATTTATAGAAATCTGTTTAAGAAGCCACGTGAAAAACACCAAGACATTGAGCGCCGATTCGCATATAGTCATTTATATGCAGATAACAACTAAAACTATATCAGAAAAACTTGGTGCAAAACAAAAAATTAAATGCCATCTCAACCATTTGATTAACTTAATTGGATTGATTTGATCCCGACTCATTGATTAATCTGTGGTGACCTATAAGCCTCATCCCAGTCAAGCAAAGCCTTACTATAGAACTTGATAAGTATATAAATAGAAAATGTAGATAATTTTCTGGTGCTTCAATTATATATAAATTTTGGCTTTGTATATGTGTAAGTATGCAATGGAAAACCCCGAGATGTTATAGTCCCGAACCAGTTTTCAACGGATAGCGACCACAGAATGGTGAGAGCCTCTATGGAAATAAGTCGTGGAAAAGAGAGGCATGGTATGGTTAAAAAGAAGTGCACACCTACCTGGACAGACCCTGAAAGTACAGACACATTCCAAGAACACATGATGTCGACATCTCAAACAACATTATACAAGGAAATCAAATACCAATTGACTAATTCCTCAAACACACGCATTAATTGAAGAGAGGAGAAAATGAAAGCGATAAGAGCAAAGAACACTGCGAACTTACAGATTATGCAAATATATCAGAAGATTTAATCTAAAAGAAAGAAGACCTAAACAGAAGATGACCTAAAAACCCGAAAAACTCACCAGTTTCAACAAACAGAAAACTTAGATAAATCTGGAAAAAGAGTAGTTAAACAAGGACGGAAAATGCCAAATATAACAGCAAATAAAATATGAAACGCACGAAAGAAAATGACAAATAAATGTCCAGGTGAAGACCGTACTGTCATAAAGGGTGTTCCAATAAGAACGACGGTTTTGAATTGCGCGCTATTCGTAGTATCATGATCGGACATTAAAAAAAAGCCCGGTTGTTAATAGGCAACAGGAGGTTAAGTAAAATGGAGCAGTTCAATACACAACAACGAATTATCTTTGCGAAAAATTATTATCAGAGTGGTGGAAGTTTTGCAGCCACAGTTTGCAAAATGCGTACAATTATGGGCCAGCGGAATGCTCCAACTGAAGCCACTGTGAGAAAATTAATGAAGACAGTTCAGCAAAATTGGTCTGTTAATGAAGTGAAAACAGAAACACCCGTTCGTCCTGGTTGCTCGACTGAAAATATCGCAGCAGCACGTGCAAATGTTGAGGAAAGCCCAACCACATCAATTCGGCATAGATCTCAGGAAATTGGTTTTTCCACAATCACTATGTATCGAATTTTAACAAAAGCTTAACAAGAGCTAAAGCCAGAAGACCATGCGCAACGAAGAGCCTTTGTTGATTTGATTTTGAAGCAACGACCAATGGACGGTGCTTTTTCAACGAAAATCATCTTTAGTGACGATGCTTGGTTAATCGACAAAGTTGTCGCATTTGGGATTCCGAAAATCCACGAGTGATCGTTCAGGAACAGATGCATTCAAAAAGAGTCACTGTTTAGTGTGCATTGTGGACTGGAGGCATCATCGGGCCATTTTTCTTCGAAAATGCTCTTGGTCAAGCATTAACCGTGAATAGTGTAACCTTGTTGTGCCAAAATTGGAAAATATGGATCTCAACAGCATGTGGTTTCAACAGGACCGTGCAACATGCCATATAGACAGATAAACTGTTGAATTACTGCACGAGTCATTTCCAGGTCGTGTTATTTCTCGTTTTGGAGATCGACATTGGCTGTCCAGACTATGCAATTTAACGCCTTTGGACTTTTTTTTAGGTTTTTTTAAAGTCACAAGTTTATGTGAACAAACCAACAAAGATTGAAGACTTAAAAGAGGAACGTCTGTGCCAGAAAAGCCGAGGAGCTGTCCGATGTCTTATTCCATTCAAACCTCATGATGTGTACTTCATTTTCCAATAAGTGCATCCAACGTATGTTTTTTTTTTTTAATATTTTTTTATTTAAAATTTAAATCCGTCTTTATCTGTTCAACTTATATCTGCACCAAACCGCCTACAAGACGGCACAATGCGCAAACCGTTTTAATGCACAAAAAGGGCGACGCAACTGATCTTGAAAACTACCGACTCATAAGCTTCTTAAACCACATCTACAAGCTATTTAAAAGAATAATATCAATTTCATTAGAAATAAAATTGGCCTTTTAATAACCTAGGGAGCAGGCGGGTATTAGGACAAACTTTGGCACTAACGACCACCTCCACTTTATAAAAGGCCTTACAGAAAAATTAATTGAATACAACCGACCCCTGGTCCTGGACTTCGTCGACTTCCGCAAGCCATTTAATACTATCGAAATAAACAGTGTAATGAAAGCCCTGGAAGAACGCCGTATAGACTAACGGTAATTTAAACTGATTAAAGACATATACAGCAATGTTACCATGACCAGAACTAACGAAACTACTGAACTGCAAAGAAGAATTACTTTGGCATGGGCTGCATATGGAGCTCTATCAGACAACTTCAAGAGCAACATATAAAATCATCTAAAAAAGAAGACCTTCGACCAATGCGTGCTCCCAGTCATGACTTACGGTGTCGAAACACTCTCATTAACCCACACCAACTCAAAACCCAAACTCAGAGTAGCCCAAAGAAGAATGAAAAGGTCGCTACTGGAACCGACTCGCAGAGACAGAGTCAGAAAAGTAAGGAAATAAGAGGTACAGACCGGCCATGTGACCAGAATGACTTATGGGCGGTTTTCCTGAAAAATGATAGAGTGGAGACCACGAGCCGACAAAAGTAGTAGAGACAGATCACCTACATGATGGACAGCCTACAGAACTCGATAAGCATATAAATAAAAAATTAACATAATTTTCTGGTGCTTCAAGTATATATAAAGTTTGGCGTTCTGTTGAAAAATCCCTGCGATGCAGGTCTAATGCGGAAAAACAAGACAGTGTTTGGGCTACCGAATAGAAGATTTAGACTTTTACTATCCGCAAGCTTTTAAATCGCATATTTATATCAGATGTAGAACTGTTCAGAAACTCTGAATATGAAATATATTGTTACGAGATTATGTCAAATACAATTAAAACTTCATTCATCTCCACGCTAAACTAAAGTATATAGTCTTCAATTAGATCTAAATTCATTCATCTTGCTAGACAATAGCTATTTGAATAATATGATAGGAGGTATAAATAGTCGCTATATGGTTTAAACAACAGTCATCTTCATCAAACTGACAATTTAATTCAGGTAAAGGCGACTCTCATTTAAAAAGTGTTCTTCAGCTCGAAATAAAGTCAAACGAAAAACAGCCGTATCTGAATGGAATTAGCTGCAGCTTTTTAATATATGCCGAGTTCAAAATTCTGTTTTGCATTTGAAATTAGGCGTGCTTGAAAATTAACCAAACTTGCTTTTATTAAAGAAGTTCTAATGGAAATTAATATGCTGTACTTTGTAATCTCGCCTGTGCCTTAAACATCGGCTTAAATGCACTTAAATTACCACATGTTCGTTGCAAAGTACCTACGGAGTAAGGTGCAATAAAAAGCATAGTTTTTATTTTACCTGGCTATATACATCGAAGTTAATAGTGTAGTAGTGCACGGTACTTAATCACACTGATTTATATTGTCAGCTCACAACTGTATCACTATTGTTTAAAGCTGACCGGTAGCATAATTATAATGTAGCCACCAAATGTAAACAGTCTATATACTCAGAGCATATTTTCCCTTTATTTATCAACCTCTGTGGTTTAAATTTTTTAAATGATAAAATTCGAGAACCAACTCGCTCATTTTGAACATAAAGATAAATATCCTGGTTGTTTTCTCTTGTGTAATTTATCAAAACGTACATTATGTTATGCCGCAAAATGTTTTTGTAAGATGTGAAAGAGCAATACATTTGCACGAAAGGAAGAGTAGTATTTCTCTTAATCTCAAAAATGCCTCATTTTGTTGTTGAAAGACGCGTTTATAAAATAATGGCAAGAAAAATAGCACCTAAATAGGTGCTATTTTCAGAAATTCAAAAGAGTCTACCACTTTCATTTCGTTCCAGGGAATGCAAATACTATCAGCGCCCTTTATTTATAGCAACTATATAATTAATAATTAATCGCTTTCAAGTAATTACAAGCTTTATTTACTTTTCGCCTTTGGCGAAACAACGGCAAAAGTAATTATAACTCAGGCAGATTCAAAGTCAAGTTTTTAATTTTGCTGTCTCGACCTTCCATTACGTCTTTAGCTAAGTGATTATTGTCAATTTATGATTTATGCTTATTTGCATATTCAAAATAATCAGCTCACTTACGATATAATTTTATTTTTGATTGGTTATTAAACGTTGCTTGTTTTTATTATTTTGTATGTAGTTAAAAATGCTAAATGTAAGTTGTGTCAAGTCACAGTCATTAAATTTAATGAAAGACTGAATGTTTAAGCCGAAATAAAAAATACATTATTCTAAATTATTAATCCTTTTAAGAACTAAATTCTGTACGATTCCTTCACACACA